CAAAGCTTCGTGGGTTATCGCTCCTTTGTCCGTGGACCAGGTTGAAGGGGAGGCGAGGCAATGACCGATAAAAGTAGGTAGCAAGTTCGATTCAATTTCGCCAAGTTTCAGTCGCCGTGTGGCGGCGGCGCGGCGGTACGGAGTGTTGTCATCAAACTCGCATCCACTTTGCAGCAAGAGAGGACAAGTGTCTCCGGTGAAAATCCACTTTCCAGTTTGGCACTACTGCACACTCGCAGCTGATGCATTATTCCCTCGAATAAGACGGATGGGGAATCGTATTTCAATTAGGGACATCTAACATGACGGCCTTCGATCGGCTGCCATAATGGCCCGTGATCTTGTTACGTTCGTTATACCGCGCGTTAAATATGTGCAGACAGCAGGAAAATTTCCTTGGACAGACTCTCGGGGACTGTGTAAGAGCAACCTTCACTGTCGTTCATAAGTATTGTTTGTACGGAAAGTATCGTACAGTTGTGTACTGCAACCATAAAACCTACGAATCATAAAGCAATAGACTAGAGTGAGTGATTAAATTATAGTGATCAGATCAAAAAGTTACATATTTTATGTTTTCAATAGCAGTAAAATATAAGCGGTGTAAAATAATTACTCGCGAAAGTTGCTTAACAAAAATATATTTATTCATTTAACCGGTAACGCTTACTTGAAACCATGGTCAGGACCGTACAAAGAATTCTTCTATCCAGCGAAAGTCAAACTGATTCTAATATATTTACTGAAAATTGAGTTCAGCTAGGACAATTTAGGGTTTTTTTCTTCTGGGAAAAGCCGCATTTGGAAGTACGGTTACAAGATGCAGATAGAAAATGCAAAAGGATTGTGTAGCTTTAATATTAACATATTTTCCATTTGTAAATGAAATACCATTTTCTACTTGAAGTACCAAATCATATGCTACCATTCGTTTATTGTTGGAACCCTCAAACAGACTGCAACACACGGCCTTGAGTGCCGCAACATCAATCGGTGCCGATTCTTCAGAGTTTAATTTACGACCTCGCTATATCGTGGCCCCAACTATAATTTTAAAATGTACAGGCGACACGATGCACGTAGAAAGAAAGTCTATGACCAAAAAGCCCCGTGCCTTTTTCGGGGCTCCCTTAAGTAGCCCCTTTTCCCTGGGAAAGTCCCAGGAAGTGGGGGCGCAATACTCTTGTCCTCGAGGACGAAGAGAAACATCTCTCGATTCTTCGCCTCGAGGACCAAGAGACGCCAGGCCTAAGTGCGTGGCCCTCCCCCGTGGCGGTCGCCGCAATCCTTTTGTTTTCTTCTTGACACGTAGATAGACATACCTGGCTAGCTTAAATTCTATCGTGACCTGGCAATTCACCTATGGGAAACTTATGGGAATGACTAAAACGTGGAATTGCATCAAAAATGATAGCTGATAAACAGCAAGTGATAGAGAAGCATATATCGATACGGCATTATGACGCGGAAATAAAAGAAATCTGCAGAAAAAGTATCGAAAGTACGCCGAAGAAGCAATTATAGATGGGAATGACGAAATATCGATATCTATATTTTTTGAAAATTTTCAATAATTCGTAGAAATTTTAGAATTCTCTTTAAATGTTATTAGAAACATAACGATTCATTTTGTAATAAAAAAAGATGTTCCATTTTAAGTGTATTTTCGATCCCATTCTTGTTCAAACTTCAAACAAGCGATACATAATTGCCAAGTGTTCGTTATAATTCGATGCATCTCGATCCAAGGTTAATCCCATGTCTTACAATTTCTTCACTATTTTTAACACTATTACGCAACATTTATTTTTGCCAACCTTCGAACTTATAAATTAAAACTAAAGTCAAAATTTAAATAAATCTTTAGCGTTAATGTAACTATTTTTATCGCACTGTGATTATAATCTGTATCACGAGACTGCCTCGTTGTTATAAGGTTAAGGGTTAAAATTCCACCGTTATAAACGAACCAGCCTTTCTATTATAAAACGTTCAGGCACCCATGTAGTTTTCCTCCATCATCCTTTTCCTTTTTCTTTTCTGGATTTTCCAACATTCCTACAGTTTACAAATATTTGTAACTGTTACTCTCTCCTTCCACGAATTTCTTCAACATTCAATCATTTGTAACTTTCGACTTGCTTCTTCAATTTAGTCAATCACAGCTTCTCTAAAGGTGTATGTTGCATAACAAAGTGAAAAACAGAAGAATTACTGTATCACTTTAACACACACAGGTCTATTTTATGACATAGTCAGAGCTTGTAAGAACACCGATTAAAGGTAATACTACAACTCAGTGTTGAGTGGACAATCTCAGTTTTATACTCCATCAGCCAATCACACGCGAGCAAATCGCCCTCATGCCGTCAGTTTGCCGAGAATGATTCGGACACTCACGGTCACGTTTTAATTGGAAAAGTGTCGTGAATTATAGTACTCGTACTCAAAGTATTATATGATTTGATACATCTCTTCGACAAAGTTACTATCGTGTATCAGTAGCAATATACAGGGTGTTCAGATAATAGAAGAGGATAAAATTTAAAACGGCTTGAGAAGATTTCTAGAAAATGTTCATGGTGTTTGTGTAACGACGATACGACGAATTTTGCTAAATTTCATAGAATTTCATCAAAGTTTTATAAGAATAATTTCACAATAATTGTCAAGTTCGCTTCATATTCAATAAGTGTCTCGATACGTTCCAGATAATTTCATACACCGAAAGAATTGCGAAACTCTATTCCCAAAGAAAATGAAATTGCATCGACGCGAAGAACCAACAACATACAGACCTTCGCGAGTAAAAGTCCTGAAAACTGCGACTACGTAACACACTTAGATCGCAATCTCCCTTTTCATAAGTCTCCGACAAGATTCGTTCGATTCGTGACAAAGCGCGCGATAAAATCCTCTTCTCCTCCACCAGAACCGTTCTTTCTTTACACGTGAGAAATTGCGATAATCGTCGGCCGTTACACTGATGGCGCGATGATAAGGGTAAATTATCCTCGGATTAAAAGCGCTCTGTAACACGACGTGGCGCAGCCTTGGACAATTTCTGCCCGTGAATCCCCCCAAGGATCCACGCTGATACTCCATTTTTCTCCACCGTCGAAATAGGATAGAGTCGCCGGGCGATTTATTAAGATCCCCGGAAGTTGTAGGCGAGCTGCAGGGAAAACCGAAAGGCGCGGCATGTCGCACGGGTTCGAGCAGGTCAGCAAGAAGGATGACCGGAGCCGGAAGAAAGCGGCTTGTCTCTGGGAAAGCTTTAATACTCCCGTAGAATCCAGCGTCGTCCACGGTATCAACCGGGGAAGCCCCGGTCGGAGGACACGTACGAACATAAATCTCGTAACGGAGCAGGAGGTAGGATCGACAAAAATTTTGTTTACAGCTGGACTTGTTGCTTGGAAAATCCAGATTTATAGATACCCTCGGTAACTACCGTCGGTAATTCTTTACCTCCTGCAACTTCGTGGAAACTTCTCGAACCCCGAGGCGAGGAGGAATCTGCGAGGTGAATGATAGCAGGAATTAAAAGTCGCGCGCGTCGACGACAGGCGTAATGAAGCGGAAGAGCCCTGCGAGAATCACGATCTGTCTGACCGTGTTGAAGCTTCCTGTTAATATAGGACACTCTTGAATTCTCCTCGCGTAGACGAGGGACGAGAATGGTAGCGAGAGGAGGAGAGAGGCACGCTTGCCTAACGACCAGAAAAGGGGTCTAAATCTTGATAAACAGCTGTAAAGATTGTTAACGGTCCGCCATTTATTTCGAGGAGAGGCCCGAGTTCTCGCGGCCGCCGGAAGACCCGGAGGAAAGGAAAGAATTAGAGGGGAGAGAAAGGAGGGGAAAAGATTGGACGACGGCCAGGCTACGTGGGTTTGAATGGTCGATCGGCAGAAACGCTGCTGGATCGTTTATAGGGCTGCAGCCGTGAACGTCGCGGACGTTTTGTCGCTTGGGGGATGATTGAAATGCACGAGTCGACGGATGTCGCCAGTTAAAATAAACCTTTTCGCTATAGCTTTTTGTAATGGTCGTCGGTTTAAATGGACGTGAAGAACGTGTGTGTTTGTGGGAACGTTTCTTTCGTTTCTGGCGAAGTTTAATATGCGAGCTCGCGGATTTTGTCAAACGTACCATATAGCTTCCACTGCATTCGTCTGGTACGAATCGTGCCAAGAGACCGTACGAAAAAGGGAGAAGGTGGGGGGAATATTACAGAGTTCCAAGCCGTCAGACATATTTACCCATGGACGTAATCGCGATCCTCGCCGCCACTCACTTCTCTAGCCAACGCACAGCGCTCAGCTACTTTCGCGATGTCGTCACGGACAGTGTACTGCCTATTAACGCGAAATAACGGCGCCTTCGTTACACGTTACGAATGTGTGTTCACTTTCTCGAAATAAACCCATTAGATCAGCGATACTCGCGAAACAGAGGGTGTAGTCTCTCGTTTGTACGCGGTATGTAGAGCGAGTCGGTTCAATCGGGTTCGACTGATTGTCTAACAACGAACCGGACTTCAATATACCGTTTCATATCGAAACCTGGCGTTCTCCATCTCTCTCTGTCTCTCGCGAGAGCAGGTTAGATATATTCGTCCCCGGGACTAGGTTCCCGGTTGTAGAAAATCGATTCGATTATAATACAATTTCAGAAGTATCCGTGCGCCTCGATATTCAAAGCGCGTTATTAAAATGCATGCATTTAACGAGAAACGTCTCGGTTAGTTAATGGAAAAAGATTCTCCTTGACCCAAAAGTGTTAATTACTCGCTGAGACTACTTGTCCTCGTTGAATCGAGAAACTTCTCCAAGTGCAGAGTGTCGCTTTGGTTTGACAATGAAGCCAGGCCGCCGCACGGTGAAAAAAATGTTTTCGCGTGACAAAACGTGATTCTTACAGTGGTTTATATGCATCGTGCACGATACCCGTTTATCGACAGGAGAAGCGAACAGTTGAAAACACGAGGATTACTCACCGAGGAAGACATTCTCGTCGATATCGTCGGCGTGCATGTCCAGGTCAAGGTCGACAGCGCCATTGCTCGGAGCCTGATGGCTCCTCTTCGCGAGGTCCATCAGCTCGTTTCTGATATCCAGGTGGCCCGTGGCCAGAAGTTCGGCCAACAGGGTCAGGTAAGACGATGTGAGAAAACTAGAGCTGGTAGCACGTAGACAACCGGGCAGACAGAATCCTAAGAGACCGTAAGGAACCACCGGTACCGCTCCGGTACTGACGAAGCCGCCGTTCAGGAGTTCGCCGCACAACATAGGTGCAGCAATGACCTCAGCTCCTCCCTCGTGACCTTGGCAACGCCTCGATGTCCACTACCTGCGTGAACAGATTCAACAAAGGTATGGATTATACTTGAAGCACGCGGTTTCAAACGCGGAGCGAATCGGAACGAGGAGATGACCGTTTCGAGAGGGAACGTCGACCCGAGGTGTTCCGAAACGAGGTGAAAGTTTGGGATTTTTTTTTTTTCGTGAGTAACTACTAAACGAAAGAGTTCAATTTTTTTTTTTGAGCACGTAAATGTAACTTTCGAGTTCTTTCTTGAATTTTTTCAAAAGCGAAAATGTTACAAAATGGAGGAGTTATTATGAAACCTCTTCTGCTAGAGTATCGATTGCTGGCCGCCATCGCTCGGCATAGATTGAAACGTCTGAAATAAAAAATTCTCTTTATTTATAAATGAACATGTGTTACCTGCGATGCGGCGTAAGATTTTTTCGATATCTCAATTATTTAACTTTTTAGAAATATTTAAAGTTGATTTTTCTCTGTAGAAAGAGGTTCCTCCTCTTCGATCTGCCGCTATTTCTATGATACTTACAATTTTTTTTTAAATCCTAAGCTACGCTGTAGGTAACACGTTTTTATTTAGAAATCGAAAATAGAATTTTTTTATTTCAGACCTCCCAATCCTTGCCAATTCATGTTTCATCAGAAGAGCTTTCGCAACTAGCGAATAACTCCTTCATTTCGTAACAAATTCCCTTTTCAAAAATTGAAGAAAAATACTGAAAGTTACATTTATATCCACAAAAAAATTCAAGCATTTCACTCAGCAGTCAGCTACAAAAAAAAATTCCCAAGTTTCACAAATTTCTCGCCGCCTCAGGACGGTGCCCCTTTAAATCACCACGGAAGTTCGCGCTTTTTTATCAACTCCTATTTTCGTCGCCGATTCGAACCCTCAAAGGACGCGCTCCTTTTTATCGGCCTGCTTTCGTTTAGACCTCCTCGTTCCTACGGTTCTTTAAATCAAAGCGGAGACAAAAAAGTAAGAACGCGGGACTTTCTCACGGACGATATAACCGTTTAGAGAAGAGAAACACGAGAAACGTGCGCCCCCTTCCGTTAAACTGCTCTCTCGTGGACGGAACTTAAGGTCGTTACTCTTTCAGGGATCCGACCGCGAAACCGAATAATATGCTCGGTAACGAAAGGCCCCATGCGCCGTTGAGAACAAAACTTCGAGACCATCTGCATAACAAAAGCGTTGGCATAACACCGCTGGACACCCGCGCGCGACCCAAGAACAATACGATTCACGGGCTCGCACGTTTCTGCACAATTATCGTGAAATACGCGTAAATTAATGCCACGCGCACACGCGAACCATGCGTGTACACACTCCCATACTCTCTCTCTCTCTCTCTCTCTGTCGCGTACACGCACCGAATGATATATGAACCGGCTCCGAATATCTGCATAATTCGAAGCTGGTAACGTTCGATACACTGGTCGATTCACTCGGAAACGAGAACCTTCTCCACCTCGAAAACCCACGAACGAGGCGAAAGGAAAAAATTGGACAACTCTTTCAGCGACGACACGTGTTCCGATCGTAAACGGTTTTCATCGACGAAGCACCCGGAAATTGAACCCACCGGTGACATCCTTTCGTCGTTGCACCAGGAGGAATTCTTTCTTATTTCTCGTTACGTCTCTCTCTCTCTCTCTCTACTGGAAGATTCCAGAGAAATCAAAGAGTAGGATGAAAAAAGAGGGAGGAAGAGGGGAATCACTTGCGCGCGAAATTTACGGATATTCCGGTTGGCGAGGCGAAGTCGAGATGCTCGATCGGGAGACAGAGAGAGAGCCGGTAATGCAGCAGTGGACCGGCGTAAATGGACTGTGACGAAGAGAAAACCAGAAGTGATCCAATAGCAACGGAGACATTCTTCTGTAGCCGGCCAGTCGCGGTGCCGTTCAGTCCGGCTGACGTCACTGGTGATTCGCGTGGGTGTGGATACGCTGGATGATCTCACGTTCTCGCGTTCAGACGAGAATTTCTTGCGACCTACAGAGACCGCCGTGTGTTCGCTTTTAATCGATTCGCGTGGCGTCGATTGTGCGTTCTCGTCCACGTAAATCACTCGGGCCGTCGAATAGGTACGGAAAAGGCGAGAGTGGAAAATCGATTTAAAGGTTAAAGCTTTCGAAAGAGCGAAACGTATTGAGAGAGAGAGAGAGAGAGAGATAACGTCGAATAAGATCAGGTAACTGAGTTGATAAAGTAAATAGACTGGCAAATAAATGGTATCGAGATAGATGGTCGTGTAAAATGTAGCAGCACAGTGTATATCGAACCGGTTGATACGCTCGTGGTAGCTGGCACGCATTTCTTTCCGCGGATCACCGTACTGAATCGTAACGGATCAGAAGCGAGAAATACCCAGGGAAATGATCTCCCGTTAATTCGATCGTCTATGCATGGACTATCTGCGACATACATATTTCATGGGAATTCGGATTACACCGCGAGAAATCGCCGTGGAGTTTGAGTTCCAGAAATTCCTGATCGGAATTTCGAGCGTGTGCAGCCAACGTGCATTGGCGTAACACCGCCGGGAGGATATATATATATATACACACAACCGAAGATCGATCCACAATTTTCATCTTTCGCTTTTTTCTTCTTTTCTTCGTTTCGTCGAGAAATGACGCTCAGATGTTCGACCGGATTTATTGTATCGGTTTTCTCTCGTTTCTCAAGCTGTAAACTCGATTTCATCCCTCGCGGAGAATTTTCGACGAACAAGCGATACTCTACTCGTAACGATTTACGAGAGAACGAGAGAAAGAGCAAGGGAGGAAGAGAGGGAAGGCAAGAATTCCATCTGCATCGGCGTTGTTCCGAAAATTACAAGAGCCCGGGAGTAGAACGTGTAATACAATTTGCAAAGTACACGAGCGGAATACGCAAATTCGATATTACACACGGATGGGATATTCAGACGGGGGGCTGTGTGTTTCACGGTCATCTTTTCGTTAACGTTACATCAGACACGGAACGATTATTCGGTTCGAAGGTTGCGCGCCGGAAACGAGCTACCGTTCCCTACCCCCCTTCGTAACGACCGCGAGAGATAGCTGGTATTAGCAAAACTGATTTAATTTTGCCGGAAACACGTGCGCGTGGCATCGGTACGCCGTTGCAAGACGGTGAAATTCCGAGAGAAGGGAAGAACGACCTTTTACGGTGCACTATTTTCGCGAAAAAGCATACTGTGCATAGCCGTACACACGCGAACAGAATATTCTATCGAGAGACAGCGTTACAAAATCTTGGGATAGTGACGTGACTTGGTCGGTGAATTTTCTACGTGGAAATCGTTCCAAGAAATGTAACCGTTGGTGAATGGTAGCTGGGAAGGATCGATACGGAATGACGACGCGTCCCTCTACCGATAATATATGAATTACCTTTAACGATATCGTTATTAAAGATTAACGAACCGTGTAGCATATTTCCTGTATTTAAAATTCAAACGATATTCCAATTTGGTAGGAGTTTGTAATGCATGTATACACGAGCACACGCACACGTTGAATTTTAATACGAAGCGCGTGTATTACGGGAATTTCTAGAATATATCGGTGAATATACTTCTTTCAGCCCCGGCTCTCGCGTTTCCACGTTTTAATTTACAATCCGTTTCGTGGATATTCGCGGGACCGAGCGTATCCCCCCGTTCATAATGCTCCGTCGGTGAAAGCCGCAACTTTCAATCATCTATATTAAATACAGCTTCGATTCTGGCCGGGTAACAAGTTTCAAATTGGTCAACGCCGACTCGCGCGATCCGCGCAAATATTAACAATACATTTTCACCTGTCAATACGACGCCGCTCGATGCTCGCCACGATCCGTCCCGCGAAGACGTCGCAATTAACCATGCGTCACCGTTAACGAAACAAAAGGAAACAGGAAAAAGTACAACCTATCACGGTGAATGAGGAAACAGTATCGAAACATCGTTCTCCCGAAGAAGCGATAAAACGAAGGGAGAGAAGAGTACACGGTTGAAAAGAATCGCGGCACACGGATTGAACTGTGCAAAATTGATAAACGCGCCAACCTGGCGTTCATGTACGAATCGATAACGGGGTTAAAACTTACGCAGTCGAAACACCGTGTTCAACTTGCCGGCTCGAGTTCCCTTTTTCGTTGATCGCACGCGATTCGCCTAACGTTCATGATCGTCGAATTACACTATTACCGGTAGGAATGAATCATGACCGGCTACGAATACCGCGATACCGCCACTGAGAAGTTTCCAGATAACACCAGGGGAGAGACCAGGAGGGGTTGAAGGAAGCCATCGACCAGGAGCGGCAGACGAACGGGCGCCGTGACCACCCCCTTCATCCTCCCGCCCCTTTATTCAGCCGGCTTATCCAAAACTGGAACAACCCCCCCCTCGGCTTGCCTCTAGAACACGAAACGTATGAGCACCGGGCACGAGATACTCGTTCCAGCTTCGCGGCCATTCATAAAATAACCTTAAACGCCGCTTTTAAACCGCTAAATACTCGGTGATTTATAACGGTATCTTCCTCTTTTCGACGATTATTTCACGGATCGTTAAGCCCGTGGCAAAAGAACGAACGACGGAAGAACGCTTGTAGACAGAAGGGCTGAATAAAAATACCATTGGCGATCGATCGTCGATTTCGATTATTCTCGCCCCTCTCCTCCGCGACGTTCGACGAGAAGATTATTCAATTTCCAAGTGTCGCAAATTTTTCGTTCGTACCGACGCGGCGCGGAATTACCCGGAAACAAAGGGGTGGTATAAGGTCGACAAATTTCGCGTCCCAATTTCCTGCCAGTCTCTACACACTCCCGCTCCCCCGGAGGCGTGCAGTAGAAGGGTTCGGAAATTTTCGAACTCGTACGAAACGCGTGGTTGTTTGCAACGTATATACGGAATCTCTGTGCTGCTTGCACATCGCATCGGGTTCGATTCCCCTAGGG